CCGAGAAACTGTTGGGGTTAAGTTGTGGGAATATTAGGATTGTTTGAGGCTGGATTGGGGTACATTAAGGAGAGATGTGAGTCACAGTTAGGTAAGAAAGGCGTGAACTCTGGGTTAAAGTTAATCAGTGATATATTCTGGTTAGGATTGAATAAAAGTCTCAAATTAGCCCTCTGATGTCGACTGTTACTTTAAAGGTCTCTGGTGCGTTCGTCCCTTCAACTCTGCCATGATATAACAATATTTCTCTATCCAATATCGAAGATACTTGCAATCTGAATGTAGTGGATCACTTATGGAATGATGCAAAGCAATGAACCTTGAGTCATCGCGCCTAAGTCAACTCTTCTTGTTGCTATAGACGTTCGCTCTGCTCGCAGGGTTGTTCACCCCATTTGTGGTTTAGTGTGGGCTGTTGGGCAGGTGAAGCTCCAGTTATCACAATTTTCCGATGAGGTCAGTTTCGGTCCGTTCGTTATATAATATATATATATAAGCAAACGCAAGTGTTTAATCAATTAAATTTACTCAATTAAGCACTTGCGTTCACTATGCTTATTCTTTATAAGTTGCTGCAATAATATAGGAGAATGAACGCCCATTATTGTCTGTCTTTTATCCCTTTTAGCGGATCTAAGCGCGGAAGGAAATCTGTCATGGGTCTTGAGCGGAACTGAGTAATCAAGACCAGCTGATGACCGAACTATTTAGATACATTAGAATAAATGCATTAAATTTCTAGTTTAGTCATAGTCCTATATGTTTCTAGGATCATTTGAATCAAAATTGCAACTTACACGACTCGAGATGGAATTTTACCACTGTCCCAAAATTATTCAGGCCACACATAGTGTTCTGAATAGCACCATAACAAGAAATCAAAAATGCACGGTGCTATATACTACTGGCTGGTTGATATAAATAGTTGGACTCCACACATCAACCAGTGAGGTTCGATGGTCAATTCGAAGTGATCTAAATGTGCGGTTTTCACTCATTTTAGGTCAACCTCATCAGTACTTTACATGATTTGGTACATTTGAGATTTGAGGCCCTACCCCCTTCCACCCCAGAATACCAAAGTTGAGTGTAGGTTAAATTAGTTAGGACAATGTCAGCTCCATAATTCAGATCCACGACAGGACAGAAATCTACAACTGGCTGACAAATCCCAAATAGGACGGAAGGCACTTCATTTAAATTCGCAAGTTTCGATAAAGACAGGCGACAGATCACCAACCTCATCCATAACAAAACATATCATACATATGAATCACTAGACTGATATTTAAATCGCCTTCAAGATTTTATACAGAAGAAAAGCACTGAAATGTTTGAGGCGATAGCTGTTGGCAAGGTAGGATAATAATATAGTGATTAAGGAATGCTGATGTAATCATACATTTGATGTATGCGTAAATTAATGAATCCTACATAGCCATCTTCCACTCAATGGGACATTTAAATACCATGGCTATAAACCTTATAAGTTTGTCTGAAGAAAGATTATTCTTCTTAAGAAATACTATTCATGTCCTTAAAAAATATGAGTTGTTGTCGTAGTATCAATGGACAGGTATGTGACGAATAAATTTTGACGTAAATATGACTAAGTAAGTAAAATCAAATTGATTTCGAGTGGCAAGGTAACCAGATAAATAGTATTTACTAGTTCATACAGTATGGGGATTGGAAATAGGTAAGCAGTGTGGCGTGTGCTACTGACAGGATTTCTAAGTAGTGCATAGATGCAGACTTGAATATGTATGGCATCTCCACGAATATCAGGTAGCGGAGAGATGGATTTAAAGAATGATGCTTGTGAAACAACATGGAACGAAGACAAAGACGCACACTACGGAAGATATATACAAATCGTGATTCTAATACATGAAGACGTATCTTGCCTATATTTGTGTATCGACTTGCCAATAAATAATCCCGTTACTAAATTCTCTTGTCTTCTGTCGTTACCGTACAATACATTTAGTGATAGGCTATTAAAAAGATACCATGCATTACCCTGAGTCTATTGGTTATTCTTAATTTTACTTTTGTTAATACAATTTTCTGGGTATATATATATACTAATTTCATTGTATTTTGAAATTTCCGGAATTACTGCTATTGCGTTAATACGAAATTGATACTACAATCTTTGTTCTTACCTGTTTCTGTGTACAGGTTTTAGTTAGTGTTCAGTACAGAAACTATTTCCTGATGAAATTGAGAAACAGTAAAAGCATGCAGTTGATTCTGACCGTAACTTAAATTATTACAAAACACCTAGTCAACAAGAAAATGAGGTGAAATAATTTAGTGATGTGATCTGAATTAAACCATAAGTGGCAATCAAATACTCCCCGATGTTATTGGCTGGCGCTATATATCTCAAATTGACAGAGGTCCACCATCCACCTCTATACCGACTATCGCATACTCCGAGAAGACGAACATTTAGTTGCAGTGTGAGTCAACTACAATAATGAATAATGCATTGAGTCACTACAGCTGTTACGTGATTATTTTTTCCAGATTGTGTAGTCACTTCTCAACGAATTAAATCAAAACTTGCTCAGATATGCCTGAAATGTCTTCTTTTTTTAACAAGTAAATGCTAAATATATAAACGATTGGGAATGAGTCACCTAATGTCTTCTGTCTTCTTACAATACGCATTACAAGGGATGCGCTAGAAAAACGAGAGTTAGTCACTACCCTTATTGTCTCAATGAAATAAGGATTAAAAGCAATACTTTAAGAAATACCTGTTGTATTTTACTGATTAATAATACCCAACTTCTAAGATTGAAAGTTGATATTATTTCGACACTTTCTTAGTTGACTTTATCAAATATCCACAAACCCTAATTCACAGAAAATTATTAACTGGTGTTACTTGACTGAAACCGTGAACAGAGCTACTTATAAGACTGCCAACATTATCAAAAGCTGAACGAATATCGTTGCAATCAAAACGCTTGTAGAGCCAAAATTGTACAAACAAATTAAGATATCTACCACTTGACGTATAGAAGGAAATTACGCTAGCAAAACGGCATGAATGGAACTCAGACAGCAATGCCGAGTAGGGAACAAAGAGAACAATTAGTTATGAAATATATTCACAAAAACCACTACTAAAAAAGAAAAAAATACCACATTAGGAAAAGATTGGCAACACACTACTACACACTCAACAGCTGCTACTTCAGTAAAACGAGAAATTTAAGTTGAACTGCACATTAACTCATGCCCACCACTAACTTCAGTGCTCAAGGTATTGATATCTAACCTGAACAACTTTACCATACGCTGATCGGACATTCATAAAAATTCTGTAGTTTTCAATTATGGGGTCAGTACTTTTCTGTCATATTGAAGTATTTGGTCCTCATACTGCAATTACTTCAGTTCATAATCAATTTTTTTAAAACACAAAATCAACTAATATCGTGATCCAAGTGTTGTTTCCCCTTAACATAATTAAAGAAAACAGACGTGTGACATAAGCAAGACCACACCTTTAAAATGACATTCTCTAACAATGACAAGCCATTATGTAACTTTATGTAAGTCACTTAACCATTTTTGCGAACAGTTGCAGATATTTTCCCAATTTTTAACTGTCTAATCAATCCTTAATTTATTTGGATATTTTCGCGTAGATTTCAATGTTCAGTTTTGGAAGAGGAAGATTGCTCAATAACCACTTGCACTTAATTACACATGGTAATTAGTTACATCCAACGGTTGGTTTGGTTCGAGTTCACAAACCAGTGGCTGAAAGCCAAACACCTTAATCAATTAATTAGCCGTACCTCTAAACGGAAAAAGTGAGAAGCAAATATTTCGGTTAAAACAAGGTTTAGTTTGCCGTATCAATTTAATGTTTATTGTACAATAGAAGGTAAAAATAGTTAGAGTTAATGGTATATAAATATACAATCTTTCCACAAACAGTAAAATGCTATAGACGTTCAAGAATGAAGCGGTAAATATACATTTTAAAAACCCTATACAATGTTATATTTTATTGAAAGACGCAGTAGGGAGTGGAATAGACTTTTACAGAGAGGCTCTACGAAAATTTTCTTCACTCAATCAGAAGTTGAACTACTGTGAGAAGAATTTAAAGCTGATTCTAGAAGGAATTTGCTGAACCTATTTTCTGTTTCTTTGGATATGGTAATACCTTTAAATCCTAACTTCTTGGCAAGCCTCCGACGCTTCGCGATACGCTTGCGTGTTGTTGATAAGACAAGATCTGGATCCAGAGGGGCGACGCCGGGAGCTGTAGGGATGCATGCTTCTTCGAGTGTTTGTCCTGTAAATATCTGCCTTCGTAAGGGGGAACGCTCAGTGTTTCTGCATAACCTGTGGCAGCGTTGGTTTTTCTCAACAGAATTTTCCAAAATAGTTGACAAACCCCTGTGTTTCGGGGGCGTATACTTATTAGGAAGATAGACATCTTTAATATCTGATGGTATGTGTGGAGGACTTTGAGGTCTGACATTTTCCAATTCATCTTGCGATAAGACAGATACCTTATCGGGTGACGCAGTACAGCATGGCTGTGCAAAAATATCCGTACATGGTACATTCTTTTCATTCTGGGCAGGCGAATGAGAAGAGTTGCACGATGCGTCATAAACTGCATCCGTCTACAAAAAAGGAATATTAATTAAAGTGTGGATTAGTACCATATATTACTCATGGTTGAAGATACTAGCAATGTAAAGCATAGTCTCATGTACCTAGGTAATAGCTATTCAGTTTGTTCGTTCTATTAATTTGAGGACCAAGAAATTATGAAGAAAATAGTGGCTTTTGAAATACAATATGATGCATCAACAAAATTCAAGCTACAAGACGTACATGCCGAGCATATCTTAAAGCATGACAATGTAATTCAAATGGGTATGTGCTCGACCCGTCAGAAAGATTAACGGAAAACCAGCTTAAATTTGCACTGTAGATTTGTATGTTTTATGAACAAGGAGAGACGGAGAGAAAGGGGATGTTTATATAAATGACAACTAAATCAAAATGCTTGGGTTTTCACACAAGGCGACTGGGTACTTAAAGTGGACAGAAGTGAAGAATTTCGCGAAAGCTAGAAACGGTTAACGAATGGAATAACTATCTTGAAGTAGGATATTTGAATGTATGAGAACTCATATATGTGATTCATCTATGCAATCAAGTACAAAGCATGCGTTAAAATGGCAACACCACGGTCCAAGTTTTTATATGTCCTGTCCTGTGTTACTTTCACTATTTTGATTTATCATTTAAACAGACTACCAGTTTTGAAATCTTTAAACAGAAGCACTGAACAATTCGCATACAGAAGATGTGACGAATATTCGTAATAGTCTGATATAGCTAACAACTACATCAGCCAACTGTCAACAATGCTAACGCAGACTACATTCGAATGCAAAACAAGACCAATAAAGTGATATGGTATCGATATCCAATACGGTGAATACGTTATATATAAACCTTGTCTTAATGACGTTTCAATTTGGAAAATCTATATTGAAAAAGTATGTGGAACAAAGATTATTTAACAGTGATTATATGAACATACTGAGTTCACGGTGCAGCGGTAGAATTCCCCTCGACCTCGGATGTCCACACGGTTTCAACCGCCGGCCAACGCACTCCTAAACCTCGGTGAACCAGAAATGAAGTTGCTTAAGAGAAATCGGTTGAGCGAGAGGATAGAAACCCCATCCAATATCCAATATGCGAAGTCCTAAATATTCCCACATGCTGTCGTCTTTTATTGATGTGCTGACTCATTTTCATTCCTGCACATCGAAAGTAATTTAACGTTGAACATATGTTTAGTATCAAACCCTTGTCATTCTGCTAACAACCCCATGCTGTAAAAATAAACATTGCTACAGAAAATTCAAGTCTCTAGCTTGAAGCCCTATATTCCACTGGGAACGTGAAGGAATGAAAATAAATAAACAAGTAACTTATTCAACGTAGCAGACGCACTTACCTGAGTTTGCGGGTCTATCACAGACTTTCGACGATATCTTCTAGATGGTAGTGTTTGTTCGTCATGGGACACTGCACATGTAGATTTGCGGCGTAATCTCAAGGATCTTCTGCGAGTTCCACTCGACTCGGCACTTCCTGGTGGGGAATCAATGATATTTGTTAGGTCAAGACCCATGACAGATTTCCTTCCGCGCTTAGATCCGCTAAAAGGGATAAAAGACAGACAATAATGGGCGTTCATTCTCCTATATTATTGCAGCAACTTATAAAGAATAAGCATAGTGAACGCAAGTGCTTAATTAAGTAAATTTAATTGATTAAACACTTGCGTTTGCTTATATATATACATATATTATATAACGAATGGACCGAAACTGACCTCATCGGAAAATTGTGATAACTGGAGGTTCACCTGAAAAATAGGAAAGCAAACACACTGACCAACAGCTCACACTAAACCACAAATGGGGTGAACAACCCTGCGAGCAGAGCGAACGTCTATAGCAACAAGAAGAGTTGACTTAGGCGCGATGACTCAAGGTTCATTGCTTTGCATCATTCCATAAGTGATCCACTACATTCAGATTGCAAGTATCTTCGATATTGGATAGAGAAATATTGTTATATCATGGCAGAGTTGAAGGGACGAACGCACCAGAGACCTTTAAAGTAACAGTCGACATCAGAGGGCTAATTTAAGACTTTTATTCAATCCTAACCAGAATATATCACTGATTAACTTTAACCCAGAGTCCACGCCTTTCTTACCTAACTGTGACTCACATCTCTCCTTAATGTACCCCAATCCAGCCTCAAACAATCCTAATATTCCCACAACTTAACCCCAACAATTTCTCGGCTTGACCCTAACTCTGATCTTCAACTAGTTCAACCATACACTCACCAAATATCCTGCACTTCCTTAATGATTTCTCGAAGAATTTAGCATCCCCTATCTAGTTTGAATAAACATAATATTTATTAAAAGCCACAGACAGTGAGACATAATTCCCCGAAGTATTTGAGTTATCTATAAAAGTGAATGGCATAATTCTTCACTTTATGCTTCCTTACATATATTCTATCACATTGGTCTGTGGATATCACGTGGAAACTCTAAAATCATAAGAATATGCCTAAGAATGCATGCCTCATTGGAAAAAGACTATATGAGAACTTACCAGTATATAAAAGGGTAACACGCGCAACTGCAGTCGTACGTGTAACTGGTTAAATACTGTTATCGGATGCCCGAACAGTAAGTGCTTAGGTGCTTTTGAGAATGGTAAATCAGCGATTTAAACACGAGACTGTGGAACTGACTACAAAACTGATGGGATCACGATGTACAGCAATGGAGATGGTTGGCATCCCAGATGGTCTGGGAAGTTCAGGTGCTGTCTCAATTTTTAGACTGCCTCGACCCACTCACCAAATGACAATTAACACTCCACGTCTGTTCGCTGTTAAGTTCAGCTCCCGAGACCACTTGACTACTGCTCTCCAGATATGGTACGAGACCAAGGACAAGGTCAGCAGACACATTCGCTGCTGCGAGAGCCGGCCTCGTACCCAAAGGAGAGAACAAAACGTTGTCATAGAACATCCCCAACCCCTAGTCACAATACAGCGGTGCAGCACGGACGATGATAGCCAGTGTCATCCAAGTGCTCCGACTGAATCAGAAGAAAAAAACGCCAACAGGCCGGTTCCCGGGGTATCGGCCAACTAGTTCGTAGGATAACTCCTCAACCGACGGCCCACATCACGTCAACCACCCCGCAATACGGGGACGTGGTGAGACTGACTACCAGTTGCCTGTACAGTAATGTGAGAGGTCTAAGAGGCAAAATAGCTGAACTTAGATACCTACAATCACAGCTGAACTCCAAAATCATAATACTGACGGAAACCTGGCTAACCCCTACGGTGGCAGACAGCGGAGTCAGTATAAATGATATGGTCCTAGTCAGGCGAGATAGGAATCTGAAAGAAGGAGGTGGAGTCGCCATATACGTCGACAAACAGCTCAGATGTGTCCATGCAATCGACCCTCCCCTCATTGAGCTCCCTGACTCCATATGGTGCCATTTCCCCGTTGGGTACTGTAAGTATCTAGTGGGCAGCATTTACAGATCACCTTCATGTGGAGCAGACCACAACCAGGTACTGCTGAACGCAATTTCAGCGACACAAGACATGGGTTATGATCAAATTGTCATAGCTGGAGACTTCAATGCCCCATCTCTTAACTTGATGACGGGATATGCCCAGGACAGATTTGATCGAAATCTGCTGCATACCATCAGGGAGGCCGGATTCACTGAAAATGTCAGAATGGGTACTAGATGGGGTCCAGATGGGAAGTCTTCTAGACTGGATTACGTGCTCACTAGTGACCAGCTACTAGTGGAAATCGTTCAGATCACGACTCCCATAGGTAGTAGTGACCACGCGGTCATAACATTCGACATAGTCCTCCGCGAGCGTTTACAGTGGGACAATACACAGCCCTATCTGTGTTATAACAAAGCCAATTACACCGAAATGCGAAGACTTTTGTCTCAAGCAAATTGGCCAAAAAATTGGACAGAGCTAACAGTAGAAGAACACTGGAGAGTGGTAAAGGAGATCATTCACCAGGCGGTCTCAGACACTGTTCCTTTAGTCACACCTAAAGCTAGGAAGCAACGTTCATGGCTAAAATGGGGGACACAACGCCTACTACAGGCGAAGCGAAAAGCCTGGTTTGCGTGGCGAGTGTCGAAGAGTCAACCCGAACATGAAGTGTACCTCGAACTCAGGAATCGATGTAACATACGAGTCCGGAGTGATAGAAGGACGTTTCAGAGAAACCTCGCCAATAAGCTTCTCGTGAACCCCAAAAGCCTATACAGGTTTATGTCTGAAAGAAAACCGACCATCCAGGGAGCTTGCAATGTAGTGGGTTCTGATGGGAAATCTCTTACTAGTCTTGAAATGGCAGAGACATTCAGTCTAGCCTTTCACAGGCAACTGAACAGTAATGAGGATTTTACCCCCACAAAACATCAAGATTACAATGCAAGACCAACGTGCGAAAACCTGCTGGGTGCATTTCAAATTACCCCGGCTATGGTACTCGTAAAATTGGGAAAGTTGGCTTCGGGAAAGTCTGCAGGTTGCGATGACATAAGACCATCCGTCCTGAAGCAGTGTTCAGAAAGTCTCTGCCAACGCCTAAGTGATCTGTTTCAACACTCCTTTGATGTAGGGAAACTTCCATGTGAATGGAAACGAGCCATTCTATCCCCTGTCTTCAAGGGTGGTGAACGGCAGAACGCGACCAGTTACAGACCAATTGCGCTACTCCCAGTGATATCGAAGATATTGGAAAGTCTCATTGACGACCACATGAGAAAATACTTCGACGGGACTAACCTACTCCATGAAGCACAGCACGGTTTCAGGAGGGGAAGATCCTGTGTGACGAATCTTCTACTAGCTTGGAACGATTAGACACTACCCTGGGATGTAAAGGTACCAGTCCATGTGATCTTTCTCGACTTTGCGAAAGCATTCGACACAGTTCACCATGGTCTGCTCCTTCACAAAATAAGCAAAGCGGGTGCTTCTGGAGCACTTCTCGCATGGCTGGAAGATTATTTAGGCGAGAGAGAATTCTGCACCAAAGTCAACCGCATCCGATCATCCTGGCACACCTCGGCATCAGGGGTTCCTCAGAGTTCTATCTTAGGGCCGTTGATGTTTTTGATTTTTATCAACGACCTGCCCTGTCAACTGAATTGCTCTGCGCTTCTTTACGCTGACGACGTAAAGATTTGGAGAGCAATAAAGTCATCGGAAGACTCCGACAGATTGCAGGCTGACCTGCAAACTCTGGGAGACTGGGCTCTGGCTAACGGAATGCCTTTCAACTTAAAGAAGTGCAAAGTAGTGCAACTTCATTCCGGCAGGTCACAGAGTGCAAATTACACCCTTGGTGGCCAGAACTTGAGTTGTGTGCCATCAGAACGCGACATAGGCCTTATTTTAACAGAAAAGCTAGACACCAGTGTAAATTACACGAGGGACGTCGCCAAAGCTTACGCCACTTTACACTTTATGCATAGGCATCTGGGAGCTCTTACTCCCGAACTATTCTTAACGTTGTATACGACATACGTGAGGCTTTTGCTGCTGCTTTATTTTGACTGAACTAGAGTACACGTATCTTCTAGTATTTCTTCGCGTTTATGATTGTGCCCTAACGTTGCGATTACTCGACATCCGCAACGTAATTCAAAAGGCACTTGCGAAAGAATACGATAGTGTATTATTGCAGCAATCAACAATTCAAAAATCGAGCGAGTACAAAAGTATCAATTGTTAACATGCAAGATTTAGAGTAATAAACAAATCAAAGTACAATTACACAATGAAAGTATAGTACTATGATGAGTAATAACATGGGTCACTACAATAGCCCCTCCGTAGAATGCAGGTAAACTTCGTTTACCTGTATTCGGAATGATATTGTAAACTACAAGGACAAGAAAGTATGAAAACCGAATTGAGGCTTTTAAGTTTTCTGAGGTTCGATTATAACTGTATATATTAGGAAATGTTAACAATTTTGAAACGAACTAAAATGTTTAGTAAGTTGTGCAACGTGTAACAATAAAAGCAGAAAAATTATTATTAGAATAATAATGAGGTTGTTATTGTAAAGAGTTACAGAATAGATTTATATCTTAACATACAGTTAATAGTATAGTAATAAGGAAGTATGGAAATGACTTGGGTAAACATTCAGTTACCTCTATTTCCATGAAAGCTGGTTGTACAAGTTGAATTGTACAAGAAGAGATGGCTGTGCCAGAGAAGAGTGCAGCAGTAGCTGCTGCTGCTGATACGGTTGGAAGTGGAAGTTCGTTAGTATGTTGTTGTTGTTGCTGGGGTGTTGTCACTCGGCGTTGAGGAGTACTTGAATTGATGTTTGCTGAGGTTGGAGAGTAGCAGTTGGTTGATTGATAGCCATTCCCACAGAAGTAGTCGGCATAAACTGTGGTAAACCAGCGGCTTGAATCAACTGACCGTTAGGACCAACAGCCATGACTTTTAATGGAGCTCCTGGTGCCAGAGTGATAAACTGGGGAGTAGCATAGGAGCGTGCAGCTACAGTACAAGGTTGACCACTGACAGAGACGTCAGTTGCCATCATTGTTGCTTGTTGCTGATGTTGTTGGATATAAGCTTGCTGTTGAGCTGGTTGTAACTGATGAGCTTGTGCTTGAATCTGTTGTTGTTGAGGTGATTGGGTAAACTGTTGTAATTGAACAGCTGTAGGACCGGCTTGAGTAAATCGAGTTGCAGACCATTGTAAGAGTGTTTGCACACCTGTAGACAATGCTGAAGCTTGAGGACAGAGAACTGGAATTGAGGTGTTGCATAACAGCCAGCTGCCATAGCTGCTTGAGTATCAGGGTGAACTGGTATAGCAGTCGCTGTGCCGCCAGGTCCGGAGGTACTTTTAGCAGAAATATCAGTAATTATACATCCAAATGTTATGAAGTTATAAAAGTTAATGCGATGGCAAAGATGATTTATTCCACTGTGTATACTTCGAAATGATGTAGTCCATCAA